TCTGGTTGGGCTTTTATTTATTTATGTATTTTTATATTTATTTTATGTTATTGATATTTATGTATATTTATCTTTTCATTTTCATTTATAATTATATAATTATAGAACCCAACCAGATGAGAAAACTGTATAGATACCCCACAATAATAATAATATAAATTCCATCTGGTTGGATCTTTATTTATTTGTGTATTTTTTTTGTATTTATTTTATTTTATTGATATTTATGTATATTTATCTTTTCATTTTAATTTATAATTATATATTTATAGAAACCAACCAGATGAGAAAACTATACAGATACCCCAAAAATAATAATAAAGCGTAAATAATAAGGCGTAGGGAAGTGACGATCCCATCGCCCGCTGACGTAACAGTTGTGTGAAAAAACTGCGACGTCGGCGCAGTTAGTCAGCATCCTGCCAAGAGGTGTGAGCGCCGTGCCTAGGCAAAATTGTAGATGCAAAGGTCCGTTTGTGCATATGAACCAACCACGAAACGGTGCCGGGCTTGGGCGTCTCCCGTTATTTGGCGCCCATAAAATGGATGATGGAAGAAACACAAAAAGGAACGCGCATAGGGCCGCTGCCTGGGGGTCGCCGGGGCGCGTCTGGAGCTGGCGCTGGACGCGGCAGCATGCGGGCCGCCAGCCGAGCGCGAGGAGCTGCACGATCACCTAGCAGCCCCTCGCATCCATCATCCCCATCAGAAGGCTTGGTGTCGGCTGGGTCTTCTCGGACCCAGCAAGCGGCACCCGCCGCTGGTGGAGCACGTCGCATGCGTTGGACAAAATCCATGAACGAAAACGCATTGCGGGCGTACTATAGGGCGAAAGGGAAAGAAACTGTGGGAATAGCGTATAGGTCTCGGATGCATTGCTTTTTTGCTGAGCTGGAGCCGTCTATCCCCGTCACGGAACAAAACCTGGCAGACCGAGTTCGGTACATCATGCGCTCGAAAATATTTGATGATGCCGAACTCGAACGACTACGACGTGAGGCTATTCCGTCGTCGAATGAATCGGCTATGGCTGGAGATGCAGCTCCACATTCGACAGACCAGTGTAACGGCGACGGCGCTGTCGTCGCCGCCACAAGCGAAAATACACCGAAGCCTAAATCACGCTATCAACATTCCGAATCATAGACAGTATATATAGAACTTCTCCGAACTATCACTCGGAGTGTGAGCCGCTCCCCGGGCAGAACACCTTGCCCGGCGGGAGATCTCCCCTTTTCCTTCATCGGCCACAGTGGTGACCCCGACGTGATCTGAACACGCAACCAACAATTTTCGGAAACTTCAAGCTTCATCATCGTCATTGAATACCCCACCGTATCGCTCCCGAGCAGATATCGTCTGCAGTCTTCATATCCTGCAAGCCATCTAGCTTCACAAGGTTCATCGCAGCATTGGAATAATAATGCTTCCTGTTCCTTCAAGCTACTCTCTGCGCTATACAGTGTTCGGCACGGCTCTGAGCCTTACTGCTTGCCTCTGCTTCACGGCAATCTCGCAGATTACTTGCCTTCATCTCGACTCACCGCAGACTACAAGGCAATCTCCTGGCACTTGCACATTCGTCGGCAACAAGGCTGCACTAACGACCTCCGGTCTGAGCAGGGGGTGATGTAACGGCGCTGTCGTCGCCGCCACAAGCGAAAATACACCGAAGCCTAAATCACGCTATCAACATTCCGAATCATAGACAGTATATATAGAACTTCTCCGAACTATCACTCGGAGTGTGAGCCGCTCCCCGGGCAGAACACCTTGCCCGGCGGGAGATCTCCCCTTTTCCTTCATCGGCCACACCAGCATCCACACGTGGAAGCCGCCATGGATCTTCCAGTTGTGGTTGATTCGAACGACGATGAAATAGTCTCCCACGAACTAGAGCAAATGAGGAGTATATTGGAAGAGGCGATTTTGGAAACGCGCAGCACCCCTCTCGAAAATCGACCGCGACTTCCCCGCATACCCTTAAGCAAGCGAAATCGGGCTGTCGTGAGGGCTCTTAACCCAATGCTGGTGACCTATTTGGAAGCCAGCCGGGACCTTTGCGAGACGGACTCGATTCTCTTTGGCGCCGCAGTGGCAGTTTGCCGTATTATTGGCGCCAAACTTCCCATGGCTGGACGCGCTACTACACAAAGTAACGCCATCCCAGCCTGGAGGAAAAGAATCGAGGACCGTATCGCAAAGGCAAGGGCCCTTATCGGCAGACTGACAAGCTTCAGGTCGGGTAATAATAGACCGAGGATTATGCGCACCGTTAGGATGGCGTTTGCTGGGACAAATATCAGTTTGTCCCAGCCGGATATCACGCAGAAACTAACGGAGCGCATAGACGACCTGAAGCAAAAGATCGCTGCTTGGGGGAAGCGGATTCGACGATTTTCCGAGGGGTCAAGGCGGTTCAACCAGAATCGTCTCTTCCAGAGTGATCAGAAGAGGCTCTATAAATTATTGGAGCGACCAAAGGTATGTGGAGCGGGCCAAGGACCGGATCAGGCTGACATTATCGCATTCTGGCGTGGCCTGTGGTCAGAGCCCGTAAACCACAGTGAGGGCCCTTGGATGGAAGTTGTGGCGAGCCAGGGTGCGAGTGTTACGCCTATGGACCCCATCACCATAACGCCAGAAGACGTGGCTGAGGCGGTCCGTAGGGCCCCGAACTGGAAAAGTCCGGGGCTCGACGGGCTGCATCATTACTGGCTGAAGGGGTTCGTAGTGTGTCACGCTGTGCTCGCCCGACAGTTTCAAGAGGCTCTCGACCAGAAGTCACTCCCGATCCACTTCACTACTGGGATCACTCACTTGGTTCCTAAAGATCAGGATACCACAGACCCGAGCAAATACCGCCCCATCACGTGTCTACCCACCATATATAAGACACTGACATCCATTTTGAGCGCGAGAATCACTCGTCACCTGGAGCTAAACCAGGTGATGTCACGCGCTCAAAATGGATGTCGGGGCGGTGGTCGTGGAACTAAGGAACCACTCCTCATTGACGCGGTCATAGGCAAAGTGGTGAAACGCAACCGTCGGAACTTCTCTGCCGCCTGGATAGACTACAGAAAGGCGTTCGACTCGGTGCCCCATACATGGCTAAAGAGGGTCCTCGAGCTGTACAAGATTGACTGTACAGTTAGAGACTTCCTCGAGCAGTGTATGGGGCAGTGGAGTACGATCCTTTGTCATCTGGGCGAGCGGATGACGGCTGCGGAGAACCACATAAGGATAAGAAGGGGTATCTTCCAGGGCGATTGTCTGAGTCCAATCTGGTTCTGCCCTCTCTCTTAACCCTCTCAGTACCTTACTGGAGGGCTCCGGGAGGGGATTTCAGCTACGGAAAGGAGGGACAAAAGTGACCCACCTACTTTATATGGATGACCTCAAGTTATTCGCTTCCAGTCGCTCCCATCTTATGGAACTGCTAAACATCACTTGTGAATTTAGCAGTTCCATTGGAATGGAGCTGGGGACGGATAAGTGTGCGGTCCTCCATGTTGAAAGGGGAAGGGTTGCTAACTCTGAGGGCATAGACTTGTCTATGCCCGTCAACTAAGGACCCTTTCCGAGGCTGAAACATACCGATACCTGGGTATGTCACAGAACATCGGTATCGATGAGGCTGGTATGAAACAGTCAGTTTGCGACGTGTTTTATGCACGCTTGACCAAAGTGCTTAACAGCCTTTTGTCCGGTGTGAATAAAACACATGCATATAACGGCTGGGTCATGCCTGTCCTCATGTATACCTTTGGCATACTCAGGTGGACTCAGACTGAGCTTAACGCCCAGGATAGAGAAGTCCGCACTACCATGACGTCCCATAGGATGCATCATCCGAGATCGTCGGTAATGAGGCTGTACTTGCCGCGGAAGTATGGTGGGCGTGGCTTTCTGAGCGCGCTCACCATGCATAATCGCGAAGTGTGCAGTCTCCGTCAGTACTTCTTGGCGAGATCGGATGATCCATTCTATAATGACGTCATTTCTAGTGATAAAGGGCTTACCCCTCTATCCTTAGCCAACGAGCAATGGCAGGACCCAGCAGTGCTTAGCAATTCCGACCGGGAGACCGTATGGAAGGAGAAGGAGCTCCACGGGAGGTACTACAAGGCTCTACATGAGCCCTTCGTAGATACAGTCGCCTCCCTCAACTGGCTACGTTTCGGTGACCTCTTCGGGGAAACCGAGGGTTTTGTCTGTGCAATACAGGATCAGGTTATTAAGACCAACAACTATCGGAGATACATCCTAAAGGATGGCACCGTCGACGTCTGTCGAGCTTGTCGCCATCCCGGGGAGTCACTTAGGCATGTCATCTCCGGTTGTTCGGCGCTTTCTAACTCTGAGTACTTGCACAGGCACAACCTAGTAGCCAGAATTCTACACCAGGAGCTCGCTCTGAAATACGGTCTCGTGGACCGGAAATTGCCGTATTACAAGTACTTGCCGGAAGCCGTGCTCGAAAATGACCGCGCCAGACTCTACTGGGACCGGGCCATCATCACAGACAGGACTATTCTTGCGAATAAGCCTGATATTGTGCTGATGGACCGGGCACAGTCAAGGATATTTTTGGTCGATATTACCATCCCGTATGACGAGAACCTCGTGAGAGCCGAAACAGATAAGCAATCAAAATATCTGGACCTGGCTCACGAGGTGACGGACATGTGGGGTGGTCTGCCGGCCGAAATTATTCCTGTAGTCGTCTCTGCGAATGGGCTAATCCCAGTTAGCCTCTCTGGTCATCTGAGGCGACTGGGACTCCGTGACGGACCGCTCCGGGCTCAAATGCAGAAGGCGGTGCTCCTTGATACTGCCCGCATCGTCCGCCGGTTTCTTTCCCTTTCTTCCTAACCCTTGGCCGTTTGGTCTCCCCTGCCGAGGGCTTCCATCTGGTTGGGCTTTTATTTATTTATGTATTTTTGTATTTATTTTATTTTATTGATATTTATGTATATTTATCCTTTCATTTTCGTTTATAATTATATATTTATACATCCCAACCAGATGAGAAAACTATATAGATACCCCACACATAATAATAATGTACATTCAGTAATGTACATGTACGGTTCGAGACTTCCTCGAGCAGTGTATGGGGCAGTGGAGTACGATCCTTGTCATCTAGCGAGCGGATGACGGCTGCGGAAACCGCATAAGGATAAGAAGGGGTATATTCCAGGGCGACTGTCTGAGTCCAATCTGGTTCTGCCTCTCTTTGAACCCTCTCAGTACTTTACTGGAGGGCTCCGGGAGGGGATTTCAGCTTCGGAAAGGAGGTACAAAAGTGACCCACCTTTTCTATATTGATGACCTCAAATTATTCGCCTCCAGTCGCTCCCATCTTATGGAATTGCTAAACATCACGTGTGAATTTAGCAATTCCATTAGAATGGAGCTGGGGACGGATAAGTGTGCGGTCCTTCATGTTGAAAGGGGAAGGGTTGCTAACTCTGAGGGCATAGACTTATCTATGCCCGTCAACTTAAGAACCCTTTCCGAGGCTGAAACATACCGATACCTGGGTATGTCACAGAACATCGGTATCGATGAGGCTGGTATGAAACAGTCAGTTTGCGACGTGTTTTATGCACGCTTGACCAAAGTGCTTAACAGCCTTTTGTCCGGTGTGAATAAGGCACACGCATATAACGGCTGGGTCATGCCTGTCCTCATGTATACCTTTGGCATACTCAGGTGGACTCAGACTGAACTTAACGCCCTGGATAGAAAAGTCCGCACTACCATGACGTCCCATAGGATGCATCATCCGAGATCGTCGGTAATGAGGCTGTACTTGCCGCGGAAGCATGGTGGTCGTGGCTTCTTGAGCGCGCTCACCATGCATAATCGCGAAGTGTGCAGCCTCCGTGATTACTTCCTTGCGAGATCGGATGATCCATTCTATAAGGACGTCATTTCTTGTGATAAAGGACTTACCTTTCTATCCTTAGCCAACGAGCAATGGCAAGACCCGGCAGTGCAGAGCATTTCCGACCGGGAGACCGTATGGAAGGAGAAGGAGCTCCACGGGAGGTTCTACAAGGCTCTACATGAGCCTTTCGTAGACACAGTAGCCTCCCTCCACTGGCTACGCTTTGGTGATCTCTTCGGGGAAACCGAGGGTTTTGTCTGTGCAATACAGGATCAGGTTATTAAGACCAACAACTATCGGAGATACATCCTAAAGGATGGCACCGTCGACATCTGTCGAGCTTGTCGCCATCCCGGTGAGTCACTTAGGCATGTTATCTCCGGTTGTTCGGCGCTTTCTAACTCTGAGTACTTGCACAGGCACAACCTAGTAGCCAGAATTCTACACCAGGAGCTCGCTCTGAAATACGGTCTCGTGGATCGGAAATTGCCGTATTACAAGTACTTGCCGGAAGCCGTGCTCGAAAATGATCGCGCCAGGCTCTACTGGGACCGGACCATCATCACAGACAGGACTATTCTAGCGAATAAGCCTGATATTGTGCTGATGGACCGGGCACAGTCAAGGATATTTTTGGTCGACATTACCATTCCGTATGACGAGAACCTCGTGAAAGCCGAAACAGACAAGCAAACAAAATATCTGGACCTGGCTCACGAGGTGACCGACATGTGGGGTGGTCTGCCGACCGAAATTATTCCTGTAGTCGTCTCTGCAAACGGGCTAATCCCAGTCAGCCTCTCGGGTCATCTGAGGCGGCTGGGACTACGTGGCGGACCGCTCCAGGTTCAAATGCAGAAGGCGGTGCTCCTCGATACCGCCCGCATCGTCCGCCGGTTTCTTTCCCTTTCCCCCTAACCCTCGGCCGTTTGGTCTCCCCCGCCGAGGGCCTCCATCTGGTTGGGCTTTTACTTATTTATGTACTTTTATATTTATTTTATGTTATTGATATTTATGTATATTTATCTTTTCATTTTCATTTATAATTATATATTTATAGAACCCAACCAGATGAGAAAACTATATAGATACCCCACAATATAATAAATACCTGGACTCAAATCAGGTGATGTCGCGCGCTCAAAATGGATGTCGGGGCGGCGGTCGTGGAACCAAGGAACCACTCCTCATTGACGCGGTCATTGGCAAAGTGGTGAAACGCAACCGTCGGAACTTCTCCGCCGCCTGGATAGACTACAGAAAGGCATTCGACTCGGTGCCCCATACATGGCTAAAGAGAGTCCTCGAACTGTACAAGATAGACTGTACAGTTAGAGACTTCCTCGAGCAGTGTATGGGGCAGTGGAGTACGATCCTTTGTCATCTGGGCGAGCGGATGATGGCTGCGGAGAACCACATAAGGATAAGAAGGGGTATCTTCCAGGGCGATTGTCTGAGTCCAATATGGTTCTGCCTCTCTCTGAACCCTCTCAGTACTTTACTGGAGGGCTCCGGGAGGGGATTTCAGCTACGGAAAGGAGGGACAAAAGTGACCCACCTTTTCTATATGGATGACCTCAAGTTATTCGCCTCCAGTCGCTCCCATCTTATGGAACTGCTAAACATCACTTGTGAATTTAGCAATTCCATTGGAATGGAGCTGGGGACGGATAAGTGTGCGGTCCTCCATGTTGAGAGGGGTAGGGTTGCTAACTCTGAGGGCATAGACTTATCTATGCCCGTCAACTTAAGGACCCTTTCCGAGG